ACATGGCCGCATTCCAGCTGCTAATTTCAATACCCGCTAGTAGCAACAACGAAATCGACTATACTTTGTCAAATATAGGATGGGAAGCTCGGTATCGTGTTCGTGAGCTATAAAATATCATAATTTATTAATACTGTACTGCTGAATACTGTTTGTAGCTTACATGAGTAGCACACATTTAAATAAAACACTTAAACGGTTTAAAACGCGGTATATATTGGTTAAACTTATTTTAATTATTTTATAGCAAAACACTGCTGCAGAGCATCCGAAACGTCGGGCCGTAATAATTTTCAAATAAGTTTAACTAATATATATTACGTTTTAAACTGTTAAAGTGTCTCATTTAAATACGTACTGCTGCGAATTAAAGAGTTCTATAAACAAATATTCTTGATCTGGTAACTTAAAGTTAATGCGACATATGACATAAACAAGATTAGGGAAGTAGTAATCTTCATTTAGATTTCTTTCATTATTCCTTACTTAAAATTACGTCACTTTCTTTTCTTATCTGTTATATACGTAGCATGAATGTCAAGTTCTGTCTTTTACCAATTAAAAAATCAAATAGCTACACTACTAACTGTTCTACCTCATTTCTTGTCATCCTATATTGAACGAACTATAGCGCGAGATTTTTATAAACGGAGAAATTCTTAGTTTTTTAAATAAACCCGCTTATAGCATGAATGTGTGTTAATGATTGCAGAAATTGCTTCAAAAATAGACGTGATACGGGATATTTTGTAAGGTGACATACCGCGGCTTACTGGCTATTGAGAAACTTACTTTTTAAATTATAAAATTTTAGATAAATATTTATTTAAGATTGCACTAATTCAGTTTTATATCTAACTTATGTATTTATATTATAATCAAGTTTAAATCGTGAATAGCTCTAAAAACTGTTTGGTTTTTGCCATAGGCCTGTGACGTGGTCTGCGCAGGCGCAGCCGTATAACGTTACATAAATGTTCTACAAATATGATATATAGGAATGAACTAAAAGTAAAATGTATTATTATTGTTAAATGACAATGGATATGAATAATGATTAAAAAACACAGTTTTATTTAAATTTACAGAAAAGATAGAAATCCAACTTTAAAAAAGTGAAATACTTGGGGTAAAGAACGATAGTCTTCTCTGATCGGGGGGGTTGTTACCCCCCCCCCCCCCCCCCCCCCAAACAGGGGGGGGGGGGGAAAAAAAAAAAAAAAAAAAAAAAAAATTTTTTTTTAAAGAAAGGGGGGTTCAGAAAAGCATGGTGTTCGCTTGATGATAAGTGAAATAACCTACCATCTAAACGAGATGCGCTGTCGGCCCATTTTGGCTATGAATAAATGATTTCTGCTGAGCCCTAGATTTTGTAGAAGCGGAATGAATGCGTCAAACTTGTTAACAATGCAGCTGGCTGGCATGTCATTATGTCATTAAGATAATTGACAATTTACTTACATCTGTCTTGGACAATTAACACGAGAGTGTAAATTGTCAATTTGTTTATGTGCCTACGGTTAACACTCGCAAATACAGCCAGTTTATATTCACGTTAAGATGACAATTACTAAAACACAGTTATAAATAGTAGAAGTAAATACTGTTTCCTCTACGTTGAGGAGCAGGTCCAAGTTTATTTTACGGATTTGGTTAACAGGAGAGTCACAGGCTACCGCGACAAAAGATCATGTATTTTCGTAAATATGACACATGATTTAAGGGATTAATTAGTAAATTTTTTGCTATAATATTTATTATTCTAATTAAATATGATTGTTCTTCCCAATAGGGAACTCATATTAAAATTCGATTTTTGATCGAAAAAAACTTTAGAACACAGGCAGTACTCGAACCGGATTTTACAGCGTCTCGGGCTATTGATCTGTTTTTCAATCTAAAATCGAATTTCTAATTTTTGTAATGCAATCCTGTGAAAATACTAAACTTTTCAAAACGCATATAATTAATATTTTAAGTCATGGGTAAGTTTAACTCAAAAATCTCTCTATATAAACATATCGATATCAGAGTAGGACTCAAACCAACGACCACAGCGACACTATGCAAAGATGACTATTAATTCGACAGACATACAATATTAATAAGCTAAAATTTGATCAATGATCTAATGCACGTTTTATAATTGACGTAACATAAAGACTAAGCATGCATATAGTCTATGATTATTGTCTTTCATTGTGATTCCGTTAAATTGTAATCAGACGTCATTAAAATGTTTCCAAATTAATTAGCATATTGCTGAAACAGGCTATTTCGTTACAGTTATTCACGAGGTCATAATTTAATAACCCGTTATTTATTCTCACAGTTGACCGGCGAACAGCACAATGGAACATAGATTTTTTGCAACAACTCTAAGGTCGACGACAGAAAGTTGATCTTGATCACCTATTTTATAAAAATCACATAAACCTACTTACCTCATTAATAGCACTGCGATAATAAGCAGCCTAAAGTATATTTAATATCTGACTTACAAAATATGAAAATTCGTATGCTTCTTTAAGTCATAAAACATTTATTGTATATTTTATAAAATGTTTCAAAACTTGTAACCTTTATAACATTGATAAGAAACACGTAATAACAATTGTAAATTATTATAAATGATTCGGTACATCTTTAGACTTTATATAATTTTAATAAAAATAATTTTACTAAATTAAACACTCGTTGACACGGCGTCGAACCCTTGACCTTAGTGTTCCGTTATGTTGCTTTTACCAACTGAATTATCGTGTCAACATTTTGTTTTTATTTATTTAGACTTTTAAATAGTAAATCAATCTATGGAGTGCAACTGGGACAAAAATGTTTTAAGTAAAAACTAATTTTATTCATTTCGAAATTGGAATCAGTAGAAATTTGACCAGCAACTCATCGTGGCTATTCAAACAGATTTTATCTTCTAAACACTCCATTCATCATATTAATTAGTCATCCTTTATCATTTACGGAAATGTCTAAACAATTAGCTACTCAAATTTTGATAAGATTGGCATAAAGCCCGTTCAGAGTACAATAAACGCTCTGTTATTGTTTTTGAAAGTTTAACAGTTAAATATTGACTTATTAGTTAATGGGGCATGGGACACAATTCTACTGTATTAGCTTTAATTAATATTTATAGACGATAAGATTATCAGCACTTAGATCGAAACATTTTATCTCTTTTTCCTAGGATTTGACTCTTACCAGGTTCTTTTAAATAGTCTACAGAATAAATTTGTGTTCTTAAATCGTACGAAAATTTTGAAGTTAAGTTTGCTGTTAATTTAATAATAGTAGAGATTTGATACAGTCAAATAATTATATACCCATGATTTGAAAAGATATTAGGTCCCGAATTCCATGTTAGATATTGCTAGCGAAAAACATTGGATCTGTATCCATGTGTTATATATGTATGTATTATTATATTATTGTTATAAATTAAAATATAATTCTTGTATTTAAGTTTTAATAATTATATTTGGTTGTCTAATATCTTGAAAGTTAGACAAACTCTGTTCTTCCCAATTATGAAGTTCAGTGTCGAGGTAAGGTTCTTTGGAATTGATACCGTTCAAATATGGGCACTTTTGGGTGTGATGAAATTAGAACGTTTTTTTTGGAATCGTATCAACGCATTCCGTCGAAAGGACTGTAGGGCGCTGGTGCTATTATAAGTGGTTCTGATCGATTGTTCCTCCGGTAGAGTTGGTACTACCAGCACACGTAACAAATGCCCCACGTGGGCGTGCATTATACCAGTTAAATAAAATATGTGACGTAATATGTCAGTTAGATTCTGCGCTTAACAATGTCATTCAAGTTCAATAGATTTCACTTTCATTATCACCTACGTCCTGATTGAGAAATTTTCCATTCAATCTCTGAACAATGCATTCAAATTATGATTACAATGCAATAAAAACCGGCCAAGTGCGAGTTGGGCTAAGGCACGTAAGGTTCCCTATTTATCACATACTTTAGAATTAATAGAATGTATCTCAATGCTGTTTAATTTTTAGTTATAGAAAACACGCTGTATATACATTTAAGATGAAACATTTATGTTTATTTGCTAATCTCAGGAAATTATGGTCTGAATTGAAAACATATTTTTGTGTTCGTTGGACCATTTAGCCTGCGACAAATAGGAGCGAAGAAAAGTTTTCAGTGGTGTGCAGTGTGCACTACGGAAACGGTTCGAGATTTCTAAAATATATATATATATATATATATATATATATATATATATATATATATATATATTTTTTGAGATTATTTGATATACGCGGACGGACAGCAAAGGCAGTAAAAAAATATCTATTAAACGGAACCCTAATAATAAAAGTAGGGGTTAAAGTGAAGGTGTTTCTTGGTGAATGTTTTGCAAGAGCAGAACACAATAGGGGACCGTGTGAAGGACTAACTAGCGGCGACCTTTGAGCGCTGAGTGACATTTGTGCAACTTAGTACAGACATAGTAAGTTAGCGGAGACGACCGCGAGTGGTATTTGTATGTTAGCTGTACTTATCAATAATGCTATAACGGTATGAAAACTTGACTAAAACTTAAGTGTGTTTTACAGCTGCTTTGAAATAAGTATAGTCTGTTTCATTTGTTAAGGGTCGAGAAACAAAAAAAAATAGAAATGACGAATAAAATAGATGTCATTTCTTAAAGAATTAGGGACAGATACTAATAATGTTTTTTTTTTAATATTAATAATTGAAAATAACTAAAATGAGTTTAAAATGTATGTAATAATACGGAACACTCCCTAAGCGTGTCCGACTAGGACTTGGACAAAAGTAAGTGAGTAAGCAATAAAACTAGACCAATATAATTAATACGTATTTATTTCATTTATATTAGGTACTTTTAACAATACTTTTAACAGTCTTACAACGAACGACTTAGTGAGACGGTCGGCGGCGGTCCACGCCGTGAGTCCATCGGCTATGTACAGTATTTACAAACAAATCGGTCAGGCGCACGAGAGCGATACGAAGGCGCGCGGCACGGGATTCGTCGGGGCGCTGAACCGTTGAACACCGGAGCAACCCGCGCCGCGCGCCACCGCTTCGAAGAACTGCCTAAGGTCACTCACTGACCTGGACGGGGGCGCCTGCAGATCGTGGAGCGAGGCGGCCCGTCTGGGGGTCTCCGTTACAGCCACCGGACGGGACAGCTGTTCACTACTTCGCGCCAAACTACCCCCGCTTTGTGACAACGATTCGAACAGCGCTCTCCTCTCTCGCACCGGCACGTACTTAGACGTTACCTCGTGGGAATTCGGGGAACACGATCTGGCGCGGTTCTCCAGGGACGCCGTTTTCCGCCTCGCCATTTCCATGGCAAACCTCCCTCTCTCCGCTCCACCGGTCGTCCCCTCCCAGCGCTTCAAATATCGATGCCGCCCCAGTTCCACTTCACTCGACCGCGCCCTAGGTAGCGTGTGATGCTGTGTAGGACTTGTATTTAATTTACTGCAGTTATCACATTTGATTTCTGACTTGCGTAACGGTGCGTCGACGACATCGATGGTCTTTAGTGCGTCCAGGGATAGAGATAAGTCGAGGCTCCGATCGGACGACGAGTCGTAATCGTCGTCTTCTACGACGATGCCCTCGTCCGTTGCGGCAGGGGAATGATCTCTTCCGGGTAACTGAGTTTCCGACATGGTTATTAACCTTCTGCGCGCTCTCGGAGGCGGTCTGGGGGGACACGCTGGCGTTTCCTGCTGGACTGTCTTTGGTTTCCGGTTAGATTGATTCGTGTCGGCCGCTGGTAAAACGTCTAAGAACCTGACCTGCGGCAGAGGCGTCTGTCCAAGTATTTCGACGCACAACGCTCGCACCCAACGGGCGTATTCCGTCGCATTGCAGGCCTGCAACAAAGAAATTAACAGTCATTCAAAAATGTCTTGGTGAGATCTTCAAAGGATGTTTGGTGTAATATTGCAATTTGAATAATGATTGTGATAGATCAACTGGCGTTTTGTATCTGACGGGGAGATTTAATTATTAAGGGAGAGAACTAGTTGGACTATTGTACGTGGCAAATGTAGAATAGTCCCGTAGACGTGTTTCCCTTACATATCAACACCTTCGCGTTCTAGCCCTTCTTATGGTAATAGGGCCATCAAAAGTCGTACACAATGCCGAAATGATTTACGAGTGTTGAGCTTTATTGAGGTCCATTTAAGGTAAATCGTGAGAAAGGAGCGCCGAGGGGGAACTGAAATCTTCAAGAACGTCTTAACTTATTGTATGAGCCCCATCATGTCAGAGACGTGAAATAGGATCCTAGATTTTTTATTCGTTTTAGTAAAGATTGTTATCGAGTAATAATACGCTAGAACATCACATATTATATTGACCAGCTGTGTCACAATATATACCTACTCAACGTTCGTTTTTAAGATTTCTTAAACAAGATTTTGTTTCAACTCTCCGTCCGTAAATATGATTTAATTAGAGAAATATAAAGGGTGTTGCGGATTTTAACTATACCCCAAATTTTAATGTCAAATTGTGACACTAATGTAGTTTATGTTTATTATAAATTTGTAAATATAAAATCTCAGACGAAAAATTTTTGTACTCGTATTTTTATACGACTGTCAACAATGCCTCGCGACAAACTTTTCTATAACTTACATTCAAATGTGTAAAAACGTTATAATTATATAAACTTAAATAAATATTATCGTCTAATCAAATAACTACTTGGCATAGTCGTCATATCTGGTATACTATCGCCTGGTGATGGTGACACATGTCGCTGTGTCAGCGACGTCGAACGCGTATTTGTATATCTTAATAAATTTAAGCTGCCCATGAAATCGGTCGCGTCCCGTTGTTCTTGCAAGATAATCTTAAAAGATAGATATACAGTGTCATGGACATTTTTCAGATTATGTAAAGAGGAATCATTCCTTTATACATATGATTTGGGTGTCTGGAACCGTTTTTGCAGCGTACGCACCAGAAACCCACAGAGATGAAATAATTTCCCCCCGTTTTGTTCACATTTCCCTCTGTATCCTCGCTTCTATTAGTCACAGGGCGATGTCTTACATCCTTCCTCGATAAACGCTCTAACCAACACAAAAAAAAATCAATTCAAACCCGTAGTTTCTTAGCTTAGCGCGTTCAAACGAACAAACTCTTCAGCTTTATATATTAGGACAGATATAAAAGCACACTACCTACCTATAGTAAAATATTCACCTAAAATAACGATAAAAAATTCCCTATAAAGTCTATAAGTAATGTCTGTATCCTAAGTACCTACCAACGAAACAACAATCGATAAGATCGATATAAGAACATTTAATGGAATTCAATTACCAACGGCCATAAACAACACATCAAGGCTGTTCAACAGAAGTGTTGATACAAAAACTATCGAGTATAAAAAGTTAAAACATGACCCCGTTTTATAATTTATGTTATAACTGTGCAGTAATTTGGTCAATCTTTTATCAATTAAATATTGAATTCTACATTGATTACTAAATCCTGCGCAATTTGTACGAATTATTGACATCGATATGCAAATAACGCTTTGATTATTAAATTAGTTAAAAATCGATTATAAATTAAAAGAAAGTTACGACTCAGTGTTGAACGGTATCCACACTGTTCCGTGTTTTTGCTAGTAGTAGGCCGTAGTTAAAAGAAATTATAAATAAGTAACTTATTAATTATGTAAATTATGTTACATTTTAAACCGTTAAAAGTGTTTTATTTAAATTTGTATCGACTCACAAGCAAATTTATAAACATACAACGCACTTCGCACTCGCGTGTAAGGGCCCTTAGTTGAAACACTTGCAATATTTATGATTAAGCCCAGTTAACACGTGCAAGTTACAATATTATTTAAATACAACGCGCTTATATGGTGTTTATGTTTTACTTAGATGTATGTCTACTAAGCTCTTAAGTTACATCCGTTTGTATGGGAATGTGCTGATCAGTGACAAAATATATAGTCTGCCTTTTGTTCGTTAGGACGAGAATACAATACAAATAAGAGTTTAAACTACAAAGATTTCTTTAAGGGGTTATTAGATAAATTAAGCAATTATCCAATTTTTATTAATATGAACTCATAAAGTCCTTTCCCTTAACTCCCCTGTAAGGTTAATGGAGCAAACATTTTTTCTTCGTCTATATAAATTATGTTGTATAAAGCTTTCATGGCTAATTTGCATGTAAATGGATTTTTGAGCTGTGCTGCCGTTAAGTGATAAAGACCGAATTTTCATACTGTCTTCGCTAAGTCGAGGCACTGTCTACAGTACATTTCATCCATCCGTCCACTCGAGATGGGGAGATGTTAAGAATGATTTATCAAGTATAGACTAAAAAAGAAGAAAAGAGAAGTAGAATAGAATAAAGTATTTTTTGTTTTTTTTTTTTGCAATTTATACGAGAAGTACACATTTAACAACACTTAACGGTTTAAAACTCAAAATATATTGGATATCCTATTTTTTATTGATTTTAACTACGGCCCCACGTTTCGGATGGTTTGCCGCAACTGTGGCCGCCTAAGAGTACTAAAATATTTCGCGTTTTAAACCGTTAACAGTGTTTTATTTCGATGAGTACTACTCGCGTAAACTGCAGATTATACTTAATGAATAATTCGCATCCTCATCGCGAGTTAAGTATTTTATTTAAATTATTTACCAATCGCGACGGCCTAAGTAACTGAGTAGCTTACCATAATGTAAATTATTGTTATTATCACAGTAGGAAATGTTCGCGTCTCTTACCTGGAAAGTGGCAACAGTGGCGTCGTCCCGTAGTCTGGAAAGTTGGAATGCGTTCGGCAGATTTGCAGCACATCGCAAGTGCAGGTGTCTAAGCGGGAGCCTGGCTGCTGGACGCCTCGGTATCGTCCCGTCGCGCCACGCCAGCAGGCACCCGCTGCGGACTGCGCAGCGTACCCACGCCCACGACACGTCATCGTCATTGTAATACTGTCTGAGGACACCTGTACAACAAGCGGATGACGTTTCATCATAATTCTACGAAGAAGCTTAATATAAGCGGCTATTTCATTAGAAATGCGAAGGATTTTTGTGATATATTCAACTAAATCAAATAAAATAGTCTATACTAGTATATAAAACTGAAGAGTTTGTTTGAGCGCGCTAATCTCAGGAACTACGGGTTCGAATTGAAAAATTATTTCTGGGTTGTTTGGAGCATTTATCGAGGAAGGCCTATAAAACATCGCCTTGTAATGATTACAATCCAAGATATAGCGAGAGATATGAAGAAAAAATTGAAAATTTTGATTGTTTTGGGTTTCCGAGGCGTACGCTGCAAAAACGGTTAAAGATACCCAAAAAATATGTATGAAAGAATGATTCCTCTTTCAATGATCTAAAAAAAGTCCGCGACGCTATATGTCTGTCTTTTAAGATTAATTTGCAAGAAGACGGAAAGGGCGCGACCGATCGTGGGTAATAGCTTAAGAGATGAAGGGGTTTGCAAAAACAAATTTGCAACTATTCTAGTGCTGACACAGCTAGTAAATAATACAACAGATGTGGAGGGACACTAAGTACTTTATAAGTGACATCGAAATATATACGAACAACAAACAGACAAACTCGTTTTGTACGTAAAAATGTTTACCTATATTTTCTTGAAAACAAGAAGTTTATTGATGTTAGGTATAGCCAATGGCTAAAAGTAGACAATGTTCATATTATAATTTAAAATATATTTTGTTTAAATAAAACACTTTAACGGTTTAAAACGCGATATATTAGTTAAAACATTTTTGAAAATGAGGCGTGGTCACCGGGAGACCACGGCTGCTGCAAAGCATCCGAAACGTCGGACCGAAATTAAAAATCATTTTCAAATAAGTTTAACTAATATATCGCGTTTTAAACCGTTAAAGCGTTTTATTTAAATGTGTACTACTCGCGTAAACTATAAACAGTCAATATTCTGTTGTTAAAAAAATACAACAATTCAGTTTTAGACGATAATATTTTGATCTATGTTTTAAGCAACAAAAAATAATTTAACATTTCATTCGTAATCACCAATATTCAAATGTTTAACTTAAGATAAGTTTGTACAAATAGCGTAATCTTGTTTCAAATCCACGATAAGATTAAAAAAATAAGCATCGTTCAACTTTTTATGGCTAACAATGAAAATACATTAACTGTATGATTAAGTAAGCAAAACAAGTCATAAGTCATGTTATTGTAAGATCTCGGATGACCCAATTCTAAGTCAGTTTCGGTTCGATAAACCCACTTTATTTATACACGACACGCGAATCGTAACATTATTTAGGTGACTACAAACGAGGGCATTATAACATTTAATGTTTATAACATTTAAAGTAACGGTTTTTTATATAGGTAATGCTGAATTGAGACTTCTTAATAAACAAAACAAATTAAGCACTGTTGACGGTTTAAAAATAAAACAGTATTTAACTTGCCATCACAAAAAATTATTAAAGATAATTTAAATAGTCGTAAAGTTTTCAATTAAATTTGACTAAGAACATTAATTACTAGTTCGATTCCTAGTTAAAAATAAGTTAAATTTCGCATTGGAAGTGTTTTATTTAAATTCTATTGGCATAAATACTAACAGTGCTTAAAGAGTATGTCTGGGTTGAGAGAGATTTTAAGGAAGAATTATATTCTTTTCTTAGTTTTATTTAGGTCGTTTTTCAATAAAACCTACTCGTAGTAGATATGACGACTAGTGTGCTAGCCTAGTGATCTATTTGTGTAGATTAATAATGTACCTATTTAGATTCAAGAAAACTTTAAATGATATGATTCGGACTGAAAACCACGAGCTGCTGTTGTTGGCACTGTTTAGTAATACTGCCGACTTTACGCGAGTACTACACATTGAAGTAAAACAACGGTTTAAAAAAAGCGCAATATGTACACTTTATGTATAACTTGAAAAAAAAAATTACGGTCAGACGTTTCGGATTCTTTGCAGCAGCCTTCCCGACGAAAAATAAATTATAAATAAGTTAACTAATACATTTCGCGTTTTAAACCGTTAAAAGTGTTTCTAACTCTTAGTAAATGTGTATATATAGCTTTTATACAAAAATAATATGTACTACTCTTATATAATTCACAAACTGGTGTTTAGAATACTCCATTTTATTATCATTCTAGCCATTCTTGTTCTAAGAGCATTTATTCTCAGTAAATTAAAAATTGCTAAAGTACTACAAAGTATGATAAATTGGGTCAATTAATATGTGTACTACAGTGTGAATAAACAAGGAAGGACAATAGCGGAGAGTACTGACCTGTTCCCATGGCCTTCGCTAGATGTTTTAGTATCAAAGGCCAAAGGATTTCCTCCTCACCTAACTACAACCGATGCCTGCCATGAACGTATGCATATTTCAATTTAACTTAAACAAAGAATAATTGGATTAATTGCGGGTAATTCAACTGCGTAAGCAAATGTATGTTGATAATTAATTGTTAAAATCTATCCTATTTTTTATGATAGAGAAGTACAGTGTGAGTTCGACCCATGCCAGACATATAACATTTAAACAAAATGTGCTGTCAATCTATGTTGGCTTTGGTTATTCAAAAATCTGCAGACTAAAAACAAAACCCGATTAAATTTACGGGTGTACTCTGTGGACGCATAACTGGGTAGTAGTAGGTACTACTTGCGTAGACTACAGAGGCTATAAAAATAGATTAACAAATTATAATTTGTTAATGTATTTTTATAGAGTTTAAATTTATAGGCGATCATGAGGCAAACATTTCTGTCGCAATTTCATTATCGCTGTATAGTAGTATAACATTTCTTTCAGGGATCCGATCCTAACTAACTACGGAGGCGGTCACTTGAGCAATATTAAAGGTTGGTTCCAAATACATCACAATATTATCCATATGAGAATTCGCGTCCCGGTCATATGTTAAAATATTCTGCCATGCTAGATAAAAAACAACTAGTCTTAAAGGGTATGCTTGTATGGTATAAGGCGATGTAAACAAAAATAAATTAGCAACGAATTTTTTAAATAATATTGCGTCTTCACTGTAATTATAGGTATCAAATAGCTTTAACCTATGTTAAATTACAAGTTACAGCATCGCGTGGCATTCCTAAACAATTATCAAAAACATAATCATACAAATGAAGAAACAGCTGTTCCCTGTCACTGATCACCCATGTTCCGTGCAATCCCACATACAGCTGTCTGATGCGGGTCATAATTGACCCTTTGGGGGTCTTTTTAATAAATTATAACGGTGATCCCATAGTTGAAAGAGTATACATGTCACCGTAAGATTGTAATCGCCGTTAGATTGTAAACTATCTAGATTGTCTTTGATAGTTTTTATACAACGTAATCAAATTTATTAATTTTTGTATTTATTGAGTGTTATACTACAATCACTTTTGTCGGTTCAAAACGCGAAATATATTAGTTAACTAGTTTACAATTTATCCATAGCCGGTATGTCTTTGGCGGCATCAGTCATCTTCCCGGCGAGACCGGTGACCTAAAATGTAGGACCGTAGTTACAATAAATTATGCATAAGTTAACGGATATATTTCGCGTTTTAAACTGTTAAAAGTGTACATCTTAAGATAGTGCGTTCGGTCTAAAATTTCAGGCTTTTAATAAATCCACGGTTGGGTCTAAGCCCTCCTAAGACGATCAAACCTAATATCACCTACATATCATGTTGACAGATAAGACTGACTTTGTTTTCCATTAAATTTTTAAACGACCGCAAATCGAACTCCTTTCGACCTTACAAAAAGCTAAGACGGCTTTAGATTATAGATTATACTAGTAATACAGATAGAATGTAATCTGTCATACAGATAATCATGTACCATACATACAATCTTTGTTTATTGCGAACGGATCCGCGAAATACGCTTACTTGCATTTAAGGAGGTAAATGACTTAAGTATGTAAATGCATACCTAATATATATCGTTCTTATACTTCTCTTAACAGCGACACTTCTAGAAGGCTTTTAATAGGACCTACACTGTAGTTTATCGTCTACCTTCAAACAGTATAGCATAATTATTATTTGCACGCAATATCTATAATACAAATATATAAAGCTGAAGAGTTTGTTTGTTTGTTTGTTTGAACGCGCTTATCTCTGGAACTACTGATTCCAATTGACAGATTTTGTGTTGGTTAAAACATTTATCGAGGAAGGCTGTAAAACATCGCCCTGATGTGACACATACAAGCAAAGGTACAGCGAGAAATGTGAAAATTTTCGGGTAAATTATTTATCATGAGTTATCATTATAATATGAGGTAAATTATGTATATGAGTTTCCGAGGCGTACGCTGCAAAAACAGTTCAGGAAACCTACCAAAAAAATGTATATGACAGAATGATACCTCTTTAAATTATCTAAAATAATGTCGACGACGCTATAATATGTCTATCTTTTAAAAATGGGAAGTAATGGACGTCGTGGGTTGGGTCTATATTGTAAAGACGAGAATGAAGTTCGCAAAAACAAATATTGATGTCCAAAATAACTAACGCGAATGAAGTCAAAATTATAATTTTTAATGACTTTCTGAGTGAAATTTCTTACTCTCATTTAAAACACTGAGTGGTTTAGGGATAAATTATCTACTTCTTATGCGTAATTCATCGGGGAAGTTATAGATCTAACGGCTCACCTGATATCCTTAGATTAGGATCAGCAGGCGTCGGAACTGGTCCGGGTGTCAATTCAGGGCGTAATTTTCGCAAACCGGCCACCACCCGCGGCGCCGGCGACTGCTCCCCCACAAGCATTGCCTCACCACAACATCTCACTTAAAAACACTTCACTGAACACGTCAAAATTCACATAATCTATAATCACAATTCCCAACAATATTATTGTTAATATTTTCAATACAAACGTCAGGTTTGTCAACAGTCAAATTCGTTTTAAGTTTCGAATAAGTTCGTTATTGCGCGCTCTACATTATCGCACACGCACCGCGATTCGCTACTGGCTAGACAGACGGTGTTTACATGAATGAATGGAGTTGTGAAGTGTGTCTGCGCCCCACTACTCGCTTACTACGTGCGTAAACATAGATTGATTAAATTGTACTGACATCTATTGACAAGTAGATCAAACTAATAAAAAACGATTTATATATTCTCTTAATTTTTTTAAAGAAAGCTAATTAAGACGCACAAATAGATCCTTTGGACTTTAAAAGTATTATAGAAAATATTATAATGTACAAACAATAGTAGGAATAATATCTTTGATTTGATAATAACACTAATACGATTTTTGCATAGTTTTAAGAGAGGGCGCTTAAGTACATTTTATAATTTTTCCATAACAAATTATTTTTACTCAAAAATACATTTAATAACATTATACACTATTAATAGTATTAATACGAAAATTGTTGCGTAAAGTGATAATCATGTTGTTGAGTTTACTGTAAGTTTTTATTTGTAAAAGCGCCACCTATATTAGATGTATTAAAACTATTAAAAAACGAATTCTTGTAGCTTCGGTATTTATAAACTAGATGGCTAATATAGCCAGAGAATATTGAAAAAAGCGCCACCTCTAAGTACAATACAACACTAAGTGAAATGTAGGTAAAGTAATATATCTTAGAATTTAGATGTCACTTAAAAATAGTAGGTTTTTTAACTTTAATAGTTTGTTATTCTGTACTACTAGATGGCAGGCCTTGTTATAAAATCGCTTATTACGACTGTCCAAACGCAAAGGTTAACTAAAATATGGGAATTGTTTTGCCTAAGACTAGAACTATGTTTTCTAAGAATATTTCTTTTCAGCTTCCTTTTTTTTTTAATTGATATTATTAAATTATAACATAAAGAAAACGTTCCGTTTTTTGGTGGTCAAAAACGTGCATAACTTATTTTAATCAAAAAAAAAATGGATTATTAAAAATGAAATTCTTTGTAAATTTAATTAGTTATGAGTTGGATGATTACATTCTTATTACTATTAACAATATATTTTTTTGATTATAGTATGTTTCCAGTTTATTTGATTCGATACTATTAAATAAATTCCTTATAGTATAAAATGTAATGAAATAAAAATATATAATGGAAGCTTTTTTCTACTAAAAAGTCATACTTATTTAAATTTTTGTTTGTGTCTGTTTACGATAAACCTCATAAATAACAACCATAGGAATAATGTTTATAAATTATTTATTATACGACTCCACAGTAACAGAACTACCTAATATTAAAAATCATACAAATAAAAATGCATAATTACAAAAAATCCTTACACTAATACTTAAACATGGGAAGACTCCATTTACAGTAAACATTTCAAGGAAGACACGAGATCAAAATATACATGGCACTGTCAATTTCAACAATGGTTCAAATTCAATAATAAGGCACATCGACTTACGCTAAACTTACAGATACATTACAACGAATTAAAGCTTTGATGGAAGAGTTATCACAATGACAGGGTGGCCGCGAAACTGGTTACCACGGGCGCCACTTAGCATCCAACTCGTGATCCGCGGATGGAGCGGCTCCACGCAGGCGTTCTTTTTTCTCCGCGTAAAAAGCGTCCCGCTGCCGTCTCGCCTCCTCTTGTTTTTTGTACTCCTGGTACTCGATCAGTTTCCTCTTCTTTTTTGGCGGTAAGTTACTGTAGTCCATCGGCGATTCGCATTGTTCCGGTATGCTTATCGCGGGCTTATTCTCGATATCGGCCTCTTTGGGATATCGGGCGTCCTGCGGCGAGTGAGACAATTTAACCGGCGAACGAACCTTCCTCAAGTCCAATGTATCGCTCGGGTAATTCGGTGAAAAGTACTCGTGTCTGTACACGTCCTCGCGGATCGCGTACTTCTGCTCCGTCGGCGATTCCATGACATTTATCTCGCCGCCGTTCATATCATTACCCCGTTTGTCCATGATGTGTTGTCTTATTTTTTGCAGAATTACATCTTTCGCCTCCGCCGGAACTCGATTGAAGTAGCCTCTCTGTCCGTTCTCGGCGTGGTGTGGAACGAGTTTGTCAACGGTTGTTAATAGGCCGGGCATCGGTGGACTGGGTTTGTTTTGTTTTGGATACCAGTGTTTGGCGGGAGCGTCAGCGGCGTAAACGGAATCTTCAGCGTCCGATGACGACCTATCGTGATCGCTGTAATAATGCTGCCTGTCTGATAAAACGGAAGAAGGCGATGTAGGCGGTGAGAATGAAGGTCTGTCTGGTACTTGGATGGTCAAAGGTTGCGCGGTTATAAGCGTGGATAGATGGCTGATTAAATTTTGGCTGACTTTCGAGTCGAGATCGGGCACGGACATAATAAATCTACACGCTTCGGCAGCGCACTGTCCGAAACCAGCTTGAAATTTCTTCGCTTCGACAATAGGATCTTTAGGCCTATGCAGCTTTGTGAGGTGGTTAACGGTTAATTCAAGGATATCTGCCTTCTCCAACTTGCTCAGGTTGTCGTCGTCTATCTGTGGGCAAAACAAAACAATATATTGAGCAGGTGCGTTTGTTTCTCACGTTACGCGACGGACGTCACATTAATATAACTGTTCCGATGACTCGTTATTAATGGGCTTAGCTTTTGTATACCTGTTTCTGGTCCCAGTAAAGGCACTGTTTAATAAACAGAAGGACGACCGGTTCGCGATAAAAATAAATGGCGTGTGAATGGAAGATGGATTGCTCTTTTAATGACGGCAAAAAGATAAACTAGACGTTTTTGCGGGATGCAACTTTTCATTAACTTTGTAGTTAATTATGGTTTTATTTATTTTATGAGGAAAGGTACAAATGTCCTTGGGCTTTATTTACCTCCAGAGCTCCGACCATGAGATCCTTAAGTTCATCCAGGCAGCGATTGATGCGAGCCCGTCTTTTTCGTTCCAAGAGAGGTTTTGTTATCTTCTTGTATTTTGCCGTTTTCGATAAGGGTGCCGGGTCCGACGCCATTTTTATCTAATAACAAACGTATTGATTAGTTGAAATCTGTGGACTTAATCGATAACAAGACGCACAACTTTTTTACTACCGATACAAATGAAGATATAAACACGCGTAGGATATAAATTGGCGCTTGAAAAACAATAGCTATAAATAAACAAATTCAAAAATAGAATCTAACCTTGACACGATCACAGATTAAATTGAATTGAAAACGAAATAATGAACACGCGCGATCCCGACGGCGCGTCGGTATGTACTGCCTGAAAAAAGCCTTCTCCCGTCCCGACCTCGTCCCCCGCCCTTCTAGCCCTACGCCCTGCCATTCATAGCGTGCGCGAACGCACGTGTGGCACAGCGATTAAATTACGAACATGCGTAACATACTTTCCCAGGGTCCACAGGATACACAGTACGTAATTATGAAAATATCGAGTATGAAATATCATACTGATTTTTTGCGCAGAGATTCGCTCACGATTTCGTCTTTAAAATTCTTTCGGGTGCGCTGAATGAGGGTTCTTTATAATTAATCAATACGTTCTGTATAAGACATGTACCATCAACCACATGTGTATTACGTTTGGTTATATATATGGCGTTGTTAAATACTGTCTTACGCGAATAGTTTACGCGAGTAGGACACATTTAAATACATGTATTAGTTAAACTTATTTGCATTTTTTTTAATACGGGCCGACGTGTCTCCCATTTCCACGTGTCCCGTGATTGCTGCAAAGCATTCAAAACGTCAGGACGTAGTTAAAATAATTTGTGTATATATATATAAGGATTAAGTGATACATTTCGTGTTTTAGATCGTCAATAGTTTTTTATTTAAATATGCAGTTTTTTGATTACTTTTAAGACGTACCTATTGAAAGTACCAATCTAGTGAAATTATACCTACCCAAGATATAAGTGGATTCCACAATTAAAATGTTTCCACGTTTTACGGGACTTTTAAGAATAAATCTTTATAAAATGCCTAGATAACACGTAATAAAGAAAAAATAATTAGCAATTCTAAGCATGCGGCCACAGTTCTTTCTCATTATTGTTTTGAATTGTGCCTTTTTGGTTGGTCGTACCTTTGTCGGTAAGAAATTACCATTGTCTTCATGCAGAAAGTATTATCTTAAATTAAAACACAGCTCACTAAAACAATAAAGTTACCGTTCTTTGCAATTATGGTTAACGGTGGTGTAATATTTACATCTAAGACACCGCCGTATATGACCTCTTTGGCGGAATTCGTCAGAACGTAGACAAAAACACCGAAGACCCTAACAAATGAAGCGAGGCCAATAGAACAGTATTCGAATAATCCCCAAGTTTTTGTCCCTTCAGGTAAAAATTGGCGCGAGCCGTCCTTTTTTTGCGCTGGCCGCTCTTTCATTTGGCCTTAGCTATTGTCGTTACTCGGTACAATTGGAACGCTGTAAACTATTTTAGAGATAAATTGTTAAATTACACGTTTAAAACAGTAAACTTTTCGTTTGTTCGCCTATCCAACTGACGTTTTTCTTGACCTTTTATCGAATTTCCGTCCGAGTCACAAACCGCCTATGCAGATAAAAAAAGCCAAAGTGTAATCGCTTTTCGGTTTCAGTACAGTTCAGGATATCCAAAAGGGTCGACAGCGCATCTTTTATATCTTGGAATTATATAGCTGGGGTATTTAAGACATTTAAACACTAGCGAATTAAAATTAAAATTATACATACATAATGTACATTATCAACTTATATGCTTATTAACGAGTAACAGAGAATAGCGTTCATTGATAATTTGGTCTACAATAAAATATACACAAGCTTATCGGTAGCGGAAAATGGCTTACACAAAACATGGTTTCTTAGAAGTTGATTGCTTAACTACAATACTAATTTGCTTAATAGTTTATATAAACGACGATATGTACGAAAGTGTCGTATACACATACCATAAGATTATATATATAACAATTTGTATAAAAACATATACCCAACATACTTGGCTCAAACATTATCGGGCCATAATACTTATTCATTGTTTACCTCAAACTGTAAAATATTTAAGTACAACCGAATCACGAGCTGACTACAAAAAACCGCAATTGCGTTGGGAATTTCAATAAATCTTGACACAAATCGCATATCTTTGACTCAGAAACGATGTTTATAGCAAATGGTAAACGCTTTACGAATATTGGAAGTCAATACGATAATATATTTTGCATAAGTAGAATCTATATATAGTGTACCTATTGGCTTATAACAGGATTTAAGGAAATTGGTTAAGAAGTCCTATAGAAATTAGAAATCATAATACATGCACGTCTCGCACAGTGTAATTTCAATCTTAACACTTGCTCATTAAGAGTTCCTAATTAACATAACAGCGTAGTAATCGTTGTGTTGCAATAAACAATCGGTCCTAGATTCTAATCCCGATGAAATATAATAAACATTTGATCGCATTGAAGCATAATTATTTTTCAAATGTAGTATAGTTTAAGTTCGAATACAAAAAGAATGAAATGTTAATGATTCAAAAGAAAATAAAATGTGTTTTTAAAACTTTAATATTTTTCACTTGTTATTGCATAATATGATGACATAATATATGTACTTTACAAATCTATTTACCTAGATAATACAAAATATTTACGACACAGAGGACTTGAGCAGCAGCACGTGACGCTGTTAATGGCGGTTCACCTCCTGCCCGAGTCGTTCAATTTATTAAATATAAATATAGTTTTAATACATAAAATGTGTTTTGTGTAAAATACGTTTTCAAAAAGAGCAGAAGTCGAAATTCGGGCAAGATATGACGACGAAGAACGACCTTAGTTCAAATCGTTTTAAATTTGTTTGGGTTGCTCAATTCATTTTGGTCATTTAATACTTCAATTAAAACCGGTCAAAAGGAGCAAATAAAACGTACCAACTGTTTAATATTCATCCATGTGAAAGTCGAAGTGAGATTTGGTTCCAGTAGTTCCAAACCAATTAGCTGCTGATTGCCAAATATTTGAATTGAATGGCATAACGGTAACCGAGCAAACTCACACATAATTGCTTAATTGTTTAGAGATGAGCTGATCACGGTTTGAACCGAAACCGAACATTCGGATAAAAAGATTCGTTTGAGTTCGGCAGAATATATAAATGTCTACATTTTTATCAATAATTTTTTATAACATTATAAAAATTCGTTATTTCATTCGAAGTGGTTTAAAATATTATTTCTAAGAAACTAGGCTTGACCGCTTTGAACGTGAGAGGTCCTGGGTTCGAAGCCTGGGAAGCAATAAATAACGGTTTCATTTGCATTCAAAATTGTTAAAACAAGAGGTACCTATTTAATTTTTATAATTTTTTTTAAAAACGTAACCCGTTCTAATGATTTGTTGCAGTCGTGGTCACGGGGAGGACATAGAAATATAATATATTTTAGGTACATAATGAAGAAGAAAACTTTAACACACCTATTTTCTACCGAAACTTGGTTCCAGAAGCCAAAACATAAACAAGCCGAATCCGAATAGAATTTCATTCCAACGCTATTAATTATCATTAGAAGAAGACAAGTGTGGGCGTTTTTGTTTATCTCGACCGGCACGCGTGGGAAATTAAGCGCGGTGGGTTTTCTCACACTCCTGCAGTGTCAATGTTATTGAAGACAATAATTACTGTTACCTTTGATTGCGTCCGCGGAATTCGTGTTATCTAACAGAGCATATCGCGTTACTGAGAGTTTGTATGAATGTTAAAACATCCATACATGTAAGTATATTTATTACGAATCATTGAAGTTTCGTTAGGGAATTGTAATGTTTCAATACCTAGACATTCTATTATTTTAATGTTATGCTATTCTTCTAAGTAATTTAAGATTATTTATGATAGAGAAATGAAACTTATCACTAGAGGAAGAAATTACCCAGCCACTTAAAATCTAACCAAAATGCGTTGTATTTCGGCTATATATTCGGATATCCACAGACTGAAGCCGAAACGAAACGCGATTAAACTTCACGCCCTTTTCATCTGTGGACGATGATTCGTGATCCGGACGGAACTTATTCCTACCACTCATTTAATATTCAGATTTCCAGGCGAAGTCCAACATATTTCGGAAAAATTCAAAATTTTGTTTACTAGCCATTCATTGCTATCATTACACCAAAGAGTCCGTCTAATGTACACAATATAAGCCCGTTTTCGTCGGGGTATTGTGCAGACACATTTGAATGTCTGTTTTAATTATCTCTAATATTTATATATGAATAGAAAACAAATAGATACATCACAAAAAACCCTCGGTTATAACGGCAAAACTGTACCTAATAATTAAGAATGGTATTCTAACAAAATCTATCATTATGTAAGATTAATATTAAAATGTATTTATAGACTACAAATCAAACAGACATAATCCTATTTTATAGCCGTGTGACTTCTACAGCAGACGTTCCACAGCTTATGTAATATTATCTGATGATGTTTTATGGAAAATTATTGCATATATAAATAATTAAACCGTGTCTAGATGAGCTAAAAACAAATAAACAAATAACGCGCAATATGATAATCTATCTAATTATCTAAAAAGTGCATAGCTTAGATGCAAGTTATTAGTGTCGTTATTAAGTTAATACCAAGGCACACGTCAGTCCTTAACAGGCTAATTGGCTTCTAAGGTTCCGTAAAGGGAAAAACGGAAAATCATGGAAAAATTAAATGATACAACTAGTCCGTCTATCTGTTTTCAATCTGTATTTTACGTATTGTCTATAGTTTCAACGAATTTGAATAAAACGCATTTGACGGTTTAAAACACGAAATATAACTTATTTACAACACGTTAAACAGCATTCAAAAGTTCGGGTCGTAGTCAAAAATTAATTGTAAACAAGTTAACTAATATTTCGCGTTTTAAGCCGTTAAATGTGTATTATTTTAATAAAACAGTCATAATTTCCACTGCGTTTATGCGGCTAAATATAGCGACAAATATAA